CTCATTTTTTCACGCCGTGCCTCCAAGAGGGAGGCTAACAGGGAGGATAAAGAGCTTTTTGGTGCTGTGCTGCCTTTGGTATGTTGGCTAGGGCTTCAGGAAACCTGATCTGCAGTTTCGACAGCAGAGGCACAACTGCTGGCAGGTTCTGGTGACCAGAGCAGGCCTCAGCAGGAGTTATTCTAAGAACACAACATATGATCACATTACTGAGGGACAATTAACATGGCTCTAAAAAATGAACCCTCTGACAGTTCATGACAGCTCTGCCTGCACAGAGCTGCCAAACGAGGGCTGCTGGGTTTGACCCTGCAGCCAGGGCTGTGAGACAGGACAGTGGCTGCCAGCCTGCAGGCTTCCAGCTGCACACTACCTGCCCACCTCTGGCTGCTGCCAGGAGAGACAAAAGAGATTCCAGACTTGCTTCTCTTTCAGCTTTGATTCATGGTAATTTAACATGTTCTTGCTGCAGTTTATGGAGCTGGCTATTTGCACATTCTATATTTAGTAATGCCTGTGATGTCTTTTTTAGAGTGATCTGGTGGGTTTGCTACCAGTAGCTTTATTACCTTAGTACATCCTGCCACCTTTCTGTTTTTTCCTGGTTCTGCTGGGACACTTTTCTGGAAAAGGAAGGCTGCATGAGAGGTAGTGGCAAGTGAGAACTGAATTCTAAAACTGGAAATTTTGAGAAATCTGCATTTGAATGCTCTCTCTGGGAAATTTCTAGAGAAATTCTATACCAGCTTCTAATGTGTGCAATTTGTTTCCCCTCTCTCTAGTCCTTTCCAGTAAAGTACATGCCTGAGACAGCTTTGTGATTGTTGTTGATGTTGTCAAACAGTTAAACACATGCTTAGGGAAACACCTCCCACTTTCCCAGGCTCCACTGCACTTTATTGCCTCTCCTCCCTGCTCTCTAGTCTCAGCTTCCCTTGTTTTATTTTCTATAATATTCAGCCCCTCCTAATTCCTTTGATGCTGGGTGGTGCAGGAGGTTGGGGTCACTGTATAAAGTTTTCTTTATGACAGTCTGTGCTTTTTATTTTTTCCTCTGGTGCTTGTTGCTCCCTGTTGGTTCTCTGCTCCTACGTGTGTTCCCAACAGGCTGTGGTCCTTTCTGGGTTGTCCCTGCTCTGGTGTGGGTCCCCATCAGCTGCAGCTACCTCAGAGTGTGCTCCTGCCATGCAGCACCTCTTTCCACGAGTACTTTTCCAGCCATGTCCTCAGCAATGTCCCCTGTCACCTGTCTCCTATTTCCCAAATGTGTCTTTTTACATATCTTGCATTTCTCCTTCTGTGCATCCTCATGGTTTATTCTTGCTGTTCCTTTTGTGTCTCTCATGTGCCTGCTGCCCCAGTGGCTGTTGCTCTGTCGAAACTGTGTTTGGGCAGAGGTAGCTTGGGCTCCCTTGACTAGTTGAGCTTCTGATGGATTATTTTTTTTCATCCATTTTGGGGATGGCTGGAACTGACTGTGACTGTGGTGGGACTTTTCATGGCATCCTCCCACAGGCTACCTCTGCTGCTGAGGCAGAGCAGTGCTCTGTCAGATTGCTCTGTCTCTATAATTTCTTGACTTTCATTTTAATACAACAAAGCTAAATTTGCTCCATAACATACATTGTATCTGGCTGAGAATCCACTGAAGTTAGTCTTGCAAGGATGACTCATACTTGAGCCAGTGTCTAGAGAGTTTCCATCTGTTCAGATTGTCAGAATAGCCTGCTAGGCACCCTTTAAAGGTCTCCCTGAAATTCTCCACGTTGACTTCTTCTCAAGGATAGTTTTTCCACTTTCTTCCATGAACTCATTCCCATTGCCCCTCAAAGGCTCCTCTTGTACACGTTTTCCTCCTCGTTCCTTTCTGTGTTCTCGTGTGTTCCGCTTGTGACGTGTGCCAGACTCCTGAAGTGTCGTGGGTGCTTTCATCTGTGAAGATTCACTTCAGTTGTTTCTTACCTTTCAACTTGCATCCATGTCCAACAGATGGAAGCTTTGAAAAGCCATAAATACTATTCTTGAGACTAGAAAAAGGTGGTATGGGTATGTGTTCCTAGTAATTGTGCTTGGATTTGTAAAAGTGGTTCCGTTGGTTGGAAGAGCAGCCAGGTGGGGGGTAGCATGACATTGTCCACTCCCATCAAACTGCCCCAGGAATGC